TAGTCAAAAATCATGTAAAAACTCTAAACTATACGTTGCAAAAAACCTCATGATAATTCGACTTCAAACGAATTAGATATGCATGTTTTAAAATTTCACAAAATACAAAAATAAAACTGAAAAACAGAAAATGCGCAGCTTTGATATCCCGACTTTGGTAGACTATAAATCAATGAATATGAAACTAAAAATGACAAAATTAAAGTCTAAAATCATGTACAAACTCTATACTACACTTTGGAAAAAACAACATGTTATTCCGACTTCAAACGAATTAGATAAGCATGTTTTAAAATTATCACAGAATACAAAAAAAGCTGAAAAACATAAATTTCCAGCTTTGATATCATGACTTTGAGAGACTGTAAGTCAAGGAATATAAACCAAAAAATGACAAAATTATAGTCTAAAATCATGTACAAACTATAAGCTACACTCTGAAAAAAACCTCATGTCAATTTGACTTTAAATGAATGAGATATGTATGTTTTAAACTTTTCACAGAAACCGATTCCGGCCCCTAAAACCGGTTGCGGTTCCTAACACGGTTCCGGTTCTTAAACCCGGATTACCCGGACCCGAAACCCAGATTACCCGGAACCCTGATAGAGCCAGGACCGGTTTTACATGTTCCGGTTCTAACGTTTCCGGTTCTGGTCTGATTCCGGTTCCTGTCCGGTTTTCCGGTTCTAAATCTCATCCATAGTCCAAAGCGTACGATTAAGGTATAGTTCTAAACAGGACATACCTATAAAGTGTCCCGAGGGGTTCCATTCAACTACTTGAGTTTTTCGTATTAGTGTAAAAAAATTAATTAATGTGCACCTACAAAAACAATTATATTACTACTGAAGTTCAAATATAGAGTAAATTGCACGAATGCTCCTTTAGCTTTACAGTTTTTCCCTAAAATGGTCCTTACGAAACTTTTTTCCTTGAGATGGTCCCTATGGAGCAAACCTTGCACACAAATGGTCTTTACCGTAGATATCCGTTAGATGGATCCGTTAAGTTAAAAGAATTTTAGATAAAGACTATTTCTGCCATTTTGTGAAACTTGTTTAAGGACCATTTGTGAAATTTTACACAAGAACCATTTGAAATATGTACAATTTTAGTCTCTTACTTTTTTTTTTGTTTTTTGTTTTTTGTTTTTTTTTTTTTTTACTTTTTCGACCTTTTTTTTTCACAATTTTGTTATTATATATTTTTTAAATATATAAATAATTTTTGTTGTGTAGATTTTATCTATATATTTAAATTACATTACATAATTAAGTATTTTTATTTTCTGTTTTTTATCTAAAAATATTTGAAGCGTAAAACATCACTTTATTACTTTTTAATTTTTATATGATGTAAGTTTTAAGATTTATCTTCATTTATCTTATACAAATATATTTATTTTTATGAAAAGAACATGATGTGTTATTATAAAGAATAAATTATTATAGAAATAATAGTATGATACTATTTCATTTTAAAAATATAAGTATGTGGTTTTGAGTTAAAAATAAAAATATGTTTCAGTTTTGATTTCATAATATGAGTATAATAAATTTCATATTACTTCGATATAAAAAATGTTATATTTAATTTAAAAAAATTATTTAGTTTTATCAAATTTTAAATATTTCCTTAATAAGACATAAGCTTTCCAACGCAAAAAAAAAAAAAAAAAAAAAAAAAAAAAAAAAAAAAAAGCCGTCTGTTAGCTAATACTTAACTATGCTGCTACAAATGTTAAGATAATTAACCATATAAACAATATGATATTACTTCCATTTAATTTATTTTATTTAATAGAAAATAAAACAAGTTAATATATTTATATAAAATGAATTAAACAGAATTAATGTCATATTAAACGGAATTAAACATAAATAATATGACATTAATTTCGTTAAAAAATTTATTTTCCATTAAATAAAATGAATTAAGAGGAATTTAATGTCATATTATTCATATGGTTAATTATTTTAGCATGTGTAGTAGCGAAATTAACTATTAGCTTACAGGCATTTTGTAATTTTGATTTGAAAATTTTATGTTTAATTAAGGAATATATTCAAAATTTGATAAAACTAAATAATTTTATAAATTAAATATCAAAATTTTAGATCGAAGCAATATAAATTTTACTGTACTTATATTATGAAATCAAAACCGAAACATATTTTTATCTTTAACTCAAAAGCACATACTTATATTTTAAAATAAAATAGCAACATACTATTATTTCTATAATAACGCATTTTTTATAATAGCACATCATGTTTTTTTTTCCATAAAATAAATATTTGTATAAGATAAATGAAAATAAATCTTAAAAATTACATAATATCAAAATTAAAAGTAATAAAATGATGTTTTTACGCTTCAAATACTTTTAGATAAAAATAGAAAATAAAATATTCAATTATGTATTGTAATTTATATATTTTAGATAAAATCTTGACAGCAAAAATTATTTATATATTTAAAATATATATAATAACAAAGTTGTGAAAAAAGAGGGCAGAAAATATAAAAAGAAAAAAATGAGAGACTAAAATTGTAATATTTCAAAGGGTTGTGTAAAATTTCACAAATGTTCCTTAAGCAAGTTTTACATAATGGCATAAATAGCCCTTATCCAAAATTCTTTCAACTTAACGGATTAATCTAACGGACATCCACAGTAAGGACCATTTGTGAGCAATGTTTTCTCCGTGGGGACCTTCTCAGGGAAAAAGTTCCTTAAGAACCATTTAGGGAAAAACTGTAAAGCTAAATGACTATTCGTTTAATTTACTCTCAAATATATAAACAAAAGTTGATATGGTAGAGTTGGCCCAAAATGTAGGATTACTGTTATGGTTCTAAACAGGGGCGGACCTATAGAGTGTCCCGAGGGGTCCGATACAACTACTGCATTTTTTCGTATTAATGTAAAAAAAATTAATTAGTGTGCACCTACAAAAAAAAACAATTATATTATTATTGAAATTCAAATATATAAACAAAAGTTGATATGGTTGAGTTTGTCTAGAGCGTAGGATTAAGGTTATGATTCTAAACAGAGGCATACCTATAAAGTGTGTCGAGAGGTCACATACGTCTACTTGATTTTTTCGTATTAGTATAAAAAAAAGTTAATTAGTTTATACCTACAAAAAACAATTATATTATTATTGAAGTTCAAATATATAAACAAAAGTTTATATGGTTGAGTTGATCCAAAGAGTATGATCAAAGTTATGGTTCTAAGGGGCGGACCAATAGAGTGTCCCGTGCAACTACTCGGTTTTTTCGTTTTAATGTAAAAAAATTAATTATTGTGCACCTACAAAAAAAACAATTATATTATTATTGAAATTCAAAATATAAGCAAAAGTTGATATGGTTGAGTTTGTCCAAAGCGTAAGATTAAGGCTATGGTTTTAAACAGAGACAGATCTATAGAGTTTCTCGAGTGTCCCATGCAACTACTTGATTTTTTCGTATTAGTCTAAAAAAAATATTAATTAATGTAAACCTACAAAAAAACAATTATATTATCATTGAAGATCAAATATATAAACAGAAGTTAATATGGTTGAGTTGGTTTAAAGCGTAGGATTAAGGTTATGGTTCTAAACAGGGACGAACCTAAAGAGCGTTCAGAGGGGTTCCATGCAACTACTTAATATTTCTGTATTAATGTAAAAAAATTAATTAGTCTGTACATACAAAAAAAAAATTTATATGATTATTAAAATTCAAATATATAAAGAAAAGTTGATATGGTTGAGTACTTGAGTTTGTCCAAAGCATAAGATTAAGGTTATGGTTTTAAACAGAGACGGACCTCTACAGTGTCCCAGCAACTACTCGATTTTTTCGTATTAATGTAAAAATAATAGTGTGCACTTAAAAAAACAATTATATTATTATTATTGTAGTTCAAATATATAAACAAAAGTTGATTTAGTTTAGCTGGTCCAAAAAGTAGGATTAAAGGTTATGGTTCTAATAATAATCTATTTGTATTTTAAATTTACTCATGTTTTGCATTTTCACTCTTACTTGAATGTTATTATGACAATGCCATTATAACTTTTCAAATAAATCGACATAGACGTTGTATATTTATTTGAATTTTTTTTATTTGAAAACTTTCGAGTCTTGTTACTTACTCACTTCCATTCCCATTCTTATAACTTATCTTTAGTTTTGCTCATTTAGTTTACATATATTGAAACATAAAACATATCTTGAATGATTGAATCAATTGGTTTATACCTAAATATATTAGGTTGGAGGGAGTGGTGCCACAGAACCGCACTCCCTCCTTTGACACATAGGAGCCACATTATTTTTACCACACAAAGTGTGGTTCTTTACCACACCCAGGGAGTGGAAACCATGGTAGTGAAAGAGAGAGATGAGAGAAATGAGAAGAGAGAGAAAGACACATGAATAAAGAGAGGGAAGAAAGAGGATGCGGCCATTTCTAGCTACACTGCGGCCAAGACCGCACCCGGGGGCGGTGTTTGCGGTTGACGTGGCGTATTCACGGTTTGGAACCGCACTCCACACCCTAAAATCGACACTTCTTATTCCTATATCAAAACTATCCAATAAATTAATATCAAATTTATCACATTATATACAATCATTCTTTCAATATACCATACAAAAAATCTCGTTTCAAAAATCAAGTAAAAACTGTCACATCTTATCAAATTTAATTAAATACGAAACCTAATGTTTTACAAGACCATACCTCATTTGATGAAGCCATTGGACCAACAACTGCGAAATGGCCAAATGGGTATATCACATTTATTCAGCAGAGCCACCACTAATGGCGTATCGGTTGATGAGCCTCAAATACAAACAAAAATCTCTCCGGTCACGGACCACTTGACCACCTTCACCACCGCCACGTGTCTCTCCCCCTCCCCCTTCCACTCCGCCATTTAAGCCTCCGCATTCTCCTCCACAATGCTTCACAGTCTCCGGGGGATCAAACAGAGATGAACACCATGCTGAAAACGCCACCGGATGCTGCCATTGCCATACCCATAACCATACCTGCAGATCACTCCGCTTCTCCTACTAAGCTTGCGGCGGAGGTCGACTGCGCCACCATGAGTAGCAGGAAACTTCCGCGGAACTACGACGTGATGCATTTGGCTTTACGGCTTGTTTGTGTATCGGCGTCGGTGGCGTCCGTCGTCGTAATGACCTCCGCGAAAGAGAAGTCGACGATCTCGCTCTACGGCTTTAACCTCCCTGTTTACTCGAAATGGTCCTTCTCCGATTCCTTCGAGTAAGCCCCATTTGTATTAGCCTCAAACATTTTGCTTAAATCGTATCGGTAAATGTCTCTGAAGTATGCAGATAAGGTGTTTGATGAAAAATTTCGTATAAGATCTTCGCATTTCCATTGACAAAAATGTTATCATGTTGATGAACAGCTATTTGGTCGGAGTATCGGGAGCTGTAGCAGTTCATTCATTTCTTCAACTGCTCATAACATCAAAAATGCTGCTAAGGAAATCTTCGGCAATTTCTTCAAGGAAACATGCATGGCTGATATTTGCTGGTGATCAGGTAAATTAATCCGAAATTCTTTACTTTGATCTATGAATCAAACAATTAGTTGAGAACTGATAGTGATGAGTGATGATTAATCGATGATCGATGAAGCAGGTTTTTGCGTATGCGATGATGAGTGCTGGATCGGCTGCATCAGGAGTCACGAATCTGAATCGAACAGGGATCAAACATTCATCGCTACCAAATTTCTGTAAGCCGTTACATAGCTTCTGTGATCGTGTTGCTGTTGCAATCGGATTTGGATTCTTCAGCTGCTTCTTGCTTGCCATGTCTGCTGTTCTTGATGTGGTTTGGTTGTCTGAGTACTGATTAGTGAAAGGCCGTGATTATTTATTAAGAAGCCAATATTGTTGGTATTGGTATCAGAATGTTAACTTATGATATTGGTCAGGTAGTGAGGTCGTTTGGATTTTTATGTGTTCAAAAGTTTAATTAGAATTTCGGAAAAGGAGAATAATGAAATAATGTAGGTGATTTTGGAATAGATGTGGTTGGATAATTGCGCAAAGTGATGAGTTTGTGTAACTTTAAATTTTGGTTGGAGTTGATATTGTTTTGAATCAACTAAAGAGTAAGTTTGGGAGAATCAAGGGAGAATGACTTATCAAGTTAATTAACTTTTTGGTATGTTCTCATATGGGTAACTATCTTTTTTTTGTACACATTTAGGTAACATATGACCATTATGACCTGCTGTAGCAGGTTACATCCTAGATGTGAACACTTTCAACAAGTTCGTTACCTAGACGTGTACAAAAAAAGTAGTTACCCAAATATGAACAAAACGAAAAGGAAGAGTAAATTACACGAATGGTCCCTGTGGTTTGGGGGAATTTTTGTTTTTGGTCCCTAGCTTAATTTTTTAACTCCGATGGTCCCTACTGTTTGTATTTGTTGCACGTTTGGTCTCTGTTTTACCTAAAAAGACTATTGTGCCTTTATTAATTTATTTTTTAATTAATTTTAATATTTATGTATTTATTTTTTATATATTTAAAAAAATTAATAGACCCTACATATTTGTGTCTCCTCATCGTAAACCTGAAACCACATTTGAGAAATTTAATTTGGGTCTCACCGGTCACTATCTTATCTCTCATCATCCTCAACTTCTATTTCTTTTCCATCTTTAGTGACATCGACGTCTTCACCATGCCTTTTGTTTTGGTCCTTCAACTGTGGCGAACCAAAACCATAACCCACTGTCTCTTCATCTTTAGTGGGTTCACTGGGTTGTGGTGTTAATTCGACGGAGTTGAAGGACGGAAAAAATAAGGGATGGTGAAGACGTCGATATCACTAAAAATGGAAAACAAATAGAAGTTGAGGAATGATGAGAGATGTGATGGTGAGTAGATACAGATATGTAGGGTCTATTAATTTTTTTAAATATATAAAGAATAAATACATAAATAAGAAAATTAATTAAAAAAAATTAATTAATAAGGGCATAATAGTCTTTTTAGGTAAGACAGAGACCAAACGCATAACAAAAATAAACAGTATGGATCATCAGAGTTAAAAAAATAACTTAATTAAAAAATAAACAATAAGGATCATCTGAGGAGATAAAGATATGTGGGGTCTATTAATTTTTTTAAATATATAAAAAAATAAATACATAAATAAGAAAATTAATTAAAAAATAAATTAATAAGGGCACAATAGTTTTTTAGGTAAGACAGTGACCAAACGCGCAACAAAAATAAATAGTAGGGGACAATCCGAGTTAAAAAAAATAAGTTAGGGACAAAAAACACAAAATTCCTCCAAACCACAGGGACCATTCATGTAATTTACTCTTATTTTTCGTTTTGTTCATATTTGGGTAACTATTTTTTTTGTACACATCTAGGTAACGAACTTGTCAAAAGTGTTCACATCTAGGATGTAACCTACTACAGCAGGTCATAATGGTCATATGTGAACACTTCCAACAAGTTTGTTACATAGATGTGTACAAAAAAAAGATACTTACCCAGATGTAAACATGCCGAAAAGTTAATTACCTTGATAAGTCATTTTCCCGGAGAATTAACTACTAACCATTAATGTGTATTAGAAGAAAAAATAACCAAAAAAATTGTTTTTAGCAAAAAATAATCATTTAGTCTTTAATAAATATTCCGGAACAAAAAAAATATATTTTTTCTAACAAAAAAAATTACATTTTGGACTGATATTTTGGAATTCCGGACCAACATTCTGGATTCCGGACTGAAATTTCTGATTTCGAAAAAAAAAACCTTCGGAATATCAAGAACAAATCTGAAATCCGATGAACAATTCCGTAATTTCGAGAAAGAAATTCGTTTTTTATTTAAATCTAGCAAAAATTTAAACATAGTAAATATAAATCATATACGATATTAATGCATAAAATCAGACATTTTATTGAAAAACAATGACATTAAACATTTCGAAATTGACATTTCCGATAGAAGTATGGATATTTCTTTTAAAAAAAGAAAATTAGAAAAAAAAAACTAGAACATACCTATAAAATTTGAAGATCATAATCCATAATGGATCATTCAGGAGTCGGTGATCATTTAAACATACTAAAATAGACATTTTGGATATACATAAAGAGATTTCTTTGAAAAAGGAAGAACTTCGTAATATGAACAGTAGTTTGGAATGAAACATTCGGGAAAAGTGGTTCGTTTTCAAAAAGCTGAAAAAAATGGCTATTTTCTTTGAAACTGTTATTTATAATGGTTAGATTACTTAATTTCCTTAAAGTAAAGTACCAGTAACCTAAAAACAATATTCATCTTCAAACTCGCTCAATCAAACCGAACAATTAATCTCTACAATCAACCATTAGACCCTTTGAAGCATAAAGCGGATTCAGATTCTCCTTATTAGCTTATTGTGGTTTGATATTAGAATATCCCCTAATAGTTTTCAAGGGGGAGGCTTAAATGGTAGATAAGCCATTTTACAAATGTAAGTAGATTTTACCAAACACCGGAAAAGCTAATAAACACGTTTACAAAATAAGTGCAAGTTGTTTTAAATAAGCAATGACAAACACCCCGGTGCTAGGAATTACCAATATGAACAACGATCAACAAAGGCAGTGTTGGAAAAATGTAACTTCTAATCGTTGAAGTAAAATCGACTCGTATAATTGTTGATCAGACACCTTCCAGTCTCTCGTATAAGCTCTTTCCCAATAAAACAATAATAACTCAATGAACAACTCCTTTGATTTTCCACGTCGTAAATCCATCTCACACTTGACTGTTATGATGCCTCTTGCCTCTTTCTTTTGTAATCACCTCTTCTCTATATCAGAAAAAACATTAAATCTAGAAAAACATATCAAAGCAACATCTGATAATTAAAGTTGAAAACTTTATTCAAAAACTAAGAATAAAATAAACTAAAAATAAAGATCCAAACTAAATGTCTAGTTGCCTCCCGTAAAACGCTTCTTTTTATGGAGTCTTGAGCCGAACTTCACCCTTAACCTAAGGGATTTCTATGATTTGTAAGGGTACCTACTTGTTCATCTTCAATTCATGCCTCCTCTTTTTGTAATTAGCAACTTTCTTTTTATAAGCTTCATTTGCACCATTTTTGCCCGAACTTTCTCACAGTTCATACTTCTTGTAATCTTTCCTTTTTGCATCTCGTTGTAATTTTGCTTTATCCTTATCCATAACACCTTTGTTAGTAGCCTTTTTCTTCACATTTTCTAACAATTCACCCATCACCATATCCTTATCATCACAATAATATTTGATAACCTCTTTGTGACAAATAGTCAGAATCTCCACACTTCTTTGCATGTCATCTTCTAATCTCTTGTTTGATAAAAATGGATCTGACCATTATCACGCCTTAATTCTCTAAAGAACATTCACCCATCAACTTCTAAACTTGCTTTGGGACTTTTTTGACTTATGGGTGTAACATACTTTTCCAGGTATTTTATATTTTAGCTTAATTATTAAATTCCTTGCAAAACCAGTCCCTACACATGGCGTACTTGATGCATACGTTGGGCGTAGGTCACTTAAGATGGACTTGGGCTTCGTCGAGTACGGCGGGCGTACGTAAAGAGTACACAAGACGTACATAAGGAGTACGCATGGCGTACTCATGCAGACCCCAAACCTAAATTTTATGGTTGAGCCCCTATTTAAGGACCTTAAGTCCCTTCAAGCCTTCCCATATCCATCCTCTATCCTCCCCAACCAGTGTTTCAAAACCCTGATGATTGATTAGCTTGTGTGAGCCTCTTTTGTGTGTTCTTGGTGTATAGTGAAGGAATAGTGTAACGTCCCAAAACACAGTGATAAAATTTTCATTTTTATTTTAATGGGAAACCATCAAATATTCATAATAAACCAACCAAAGTATGTCAAATAAAAGTAATAATCAGAGTACAAATCCAAATCATAAAGAAAATGCGGAATACAGGCGGATGTGCTGCGATCAAGTTGGGCCCTTCCCTTTCGCACCGGAGGTACCTGAAGCCACAAAAAACTGTAAGCACAAAGATTAGTGAGCTTCCCAAAAATATTGTTGGTATTTTATTCAAAAACATGATTTTTAGCAACGGAAGACTTATAATATTTCGAATAACATAAAACAGGTTTATAACCCGACCAAAGAAGGGATGAAAAAAAACAACCTTTGTAGTTCTTTGGGTCCTCTTGGGAGACTTGGAAGTTGATGAAGAATGATGAACTTAAGAGACACCAACAACGACTCAACTTGATGTAGAATGCTAGTTTGTTTGTATAAAACTCTTAAGCTTTATGTTCTTATCAAATAAGAACACAAAGAGAGCGTAAGAAGCAAGTAATCTTCATGAGATGAACCAAAAATAAGAGAGAATGCATATCACCATGAAAATTTCGTTTTTCTCTCATAAAAGGCAAGAGAAATGCAAGCCTCAAGTCTTAAAGCATAAAGCAAGGTTCTTAACCACAAGGTCTTAAGACTTTTGACCAAACCATGTCCCTATGTCATGAGCATGTCCCAGCATGCTTTAATAGGTTGATTTCTTTCAATGAAAGAATTGAAAAACTTATGCTCTTCCTTTTGACTCGTATTTTCAAAAATAATAAAAGGGAAGAAGACAAAACTCTTATATTTTATAAAACAAGTTTATAAAATATGAACTTGAACTTTAACTTTTTGGTAAAAGACAAAAGAACTTATCTAGTCCAATATGTTGTACATGACTTATTAGTCATACCATATAAAATATGTAATGTTACTTGCCAATGAAAATTATTATTTCTTAGAAATAAATAATTTCCCATTAATTATAAGAGTTTATTGAATAT